TAACCAAACCCTAACCCTAACCCCTAACCCTAACCCTAAACCAAACCCTAACGCTAAACCTGAACCCTAATCCTAATCCCTAACCCTAACCCTAACTCTTACCATAAACACTTATCCTAACCCTAACCCCAGCCCTAAACCCTAACCCTAACCCTAATCAAACCGTAAACCTAACCCTAATCCTAACCCCTAGCCTTCTTACCCTAAACATTAATCCTAACCGTAACCCCTAACCCTAAACCCTAACCCTAACCTAAACCCTAACACTAAACCCTAACCCTAAAGTAATTCTACTCCTAACCCTTACCCTAACCAAACCCTAAACCTAGCCCTAACCCTAAACCTAACCCTAACCAAACCCTAACCCTATTCCCTAACCTTAACCCTAATCCTAACCCCTAACCCTAAACCAAACCTTAACCCTAACCCTTAACCCTAACCTAACCTTAACCCTAACCAAGTCCTAACCCTAACTCTAACCCCATCCCTAACCCTAACCTAACCCTAAATATCCCTTACCCTATCCCTAATAATAACCTAACCCTTCCCTAACCCTAACCCAAACAACCCTCACTGTAACCTTAAACCCTAAACCCTAATCTCTCACCCTAACGCTAACCCAAAACCTTAACCCTCACCACTAACCCTAACCCTAACCCTAACCTAAGCCTAAGCTTAACCCTAACCTAACTCTTACACTCTTTTATACTGGTTTTTAGTTACTCGTACCCTCTTTAATTGGTTTATGCCTGTTTTGATTAGTTTACAGGTTCTCACTCTTTTGTGCTGGTACTGACGGCATATTCCCATCTATATTTGTTTCAAACAGCTATAATCGATTATTGAACCTTTTCATGCTGTTTTTTACTTCCCATTCTTATTAGTTCATCACATTGCTTCTCTTCAGAATACTTTTTTTAATCGTTCTTACCATTTCAGAACTGTTTATACTGTTTCTGATCAGTTCCTAGCAGTTTAGACTGAATAAGCCACTTACAACGGGCTTGGACTCGATTGAAGGGTTTGTTGCACATCTGATTGGATTTGATTCAGTGTTCATCCTGGCTCTTACTAGATACCAATTATACTGGCCCATGACGTTTATAACTGGTGTGTATTACTTTTAATTGGCTCAATTGGTTCTGACCATCTCCTTTGCTATTACTAGTTCTGCCTGATTCTTTTCAATTCAGTCTAGCTTATACCAGTTCTGAAGGGTTAAAAATGGTTCTTTGCTAGTTCCAATTGGTTCATATGGGTCTGACAAAATTATTCCGGTTATGACTGGCTTATACCAGTCATGAACTACTTGTGTAGGTCGCACCTCTTTTTTGTTCGTTTCATGAAGTCCATGTCAGTTCCAACTGTTTAAATCTTGTTATGACATTACTTTCTGGTTCACGTCAGTCTCGTCTAGCTCATACTGTTTTTACTTGAATAAACAAGTTCTGACCCAGTCAGAGCAGTTCCAACCTTTTCATACCAGTTCTCACTGATTAGAAGAGGAGGAATGGGAGATTGAGAGTTTAAACTAGTCATAATTTCTTCTATTTCCTCTTTGGGGAAATATTTTTGCTAGAGAGCATGTGTGCTCTCCAGAGAGACAGAGAGACATAAAGCAAGAAATCATCCCATAGAAGGCAGGGCCATGCTGCATTCCCTTCACCTCCAGTCTCCTTGTGGGATTTGGGGCACATACACATGCACCTGGTTTAAGTTTTAAGCCAATGGATACAGGACTCAAACCATGGTTGACCACATGGGAGTCCAGCAATGTATCCACTATGCCATCTGCTGACCCCATCTTCTCCTTCCCTTTAATATATTTTATTTTGGACAGGTTCAAACCAGTTTATACTTGTTCATGCTGATTACAACTGGTTCACACAAGCTGTGACAAGTTCTTTGGGGAACATGGTTCTGATCAGATCATATCAGTTCTGAGTGGTTCATGCTGCGGTGCCAGGTTATACTAGTCCTCACCACTCGGTACCCATTCTGACTTTTTCTGACTGGCTTGTGCCTGTTCTAACTGGTTCATGCTTTTTCTGACAGTGTCATGTCAGTTCTGACTGGTTCACACTCGTTTCTACTGGTTCACAACACTTCTGCTGGTTTTGAGTGGTCCTCAGTTCTGACTGGCTCATACTGACTGACTAGTTTCTGCTGGTTCTGACTGGTTCATACTGACTGACTATGCTGGTTCTGACCAGTTGATATTGATTCTGGCTAGTTTATGCCTGTTCATATCAGTTCTGATTAGCTCATACCAGTATTGTTTCATATCAGTTCATATCAGTGCTGAACGTTTTTAAGTGGCTTAGAGTGTTTCATAACATTACTTATTGGTTCAGACTGGATTTGACTGGTTCATACTGGACTAGAAAAGTCTACTTGGTTCATACCTGGTAGACTGACTCATTCCTGTTCTTTTTGTTTCTGATCATTTCTTACAGGTTGATGCCAGTTTTAAGTGGCTGATATCTGTTATGGCCAGTTTCTATTAAACCACACTGGTCCTGACTGCCTAATGCAAGTTTTGACCAGTTCATACTGGTTTGAACTGGTTTATACCTTTCCATACCCTTCCAATTGACTAATACCAATTTCAAATTACTCATACTGGGTCATGCTGACTGCTTCTAATCAGTACATACTAATTCATAGCCGTTTCCAGCAACTTGTGCCCTTTCTGGATGGTTCCAGTTGGTTCATACTGTTTTATACAACTTGGGTCAGCCCATACAGGTTCTTTACAGTAGTTCTGACCAGCTCATAGCAATTCTGATCTGTTAAAACTGGTTCATGCCAGTTCTAAAGTTTCTTTACTGATTTTGGCCTGTTTTGGCCAGTTCATACCAATTCCAAGTGGCTTTTGTCTACTCTGATGGGTCCACTCTCATTCCAACCAGTCAGACCAGTTCTGGCAACTTCTGACTGGTGTGTGATCACCCTGCCCAAATCTGACTGGTTCACTCTGGTACTGAAATGCATATCAATTAACACTGCATCTGACTGGCTAATATTGGTTCTGACTTGCTCATACAGGTTGTGACTGGTAACCAGCTGGTAAGAGTCTAAACTAGTTAGAAACAGCAAGAACCAGTATAAACAAGAACCAGCTGAACTGTATAAGAATAGTAAACCCTAACCTTAACCACTAAACCTCAACCATAAGCTAACTCCAACTCCCTAAACCTAACTCCTATCTCTATCCTGAACACAACCCTGAGCCCAATACTTGATCCCAATTCTTAAATATTATCACTGAACCCTAATCTTGAACATGAACCCCAACCCAAACACAACCCCAGATAGAATCTCAAACTTCAAGCTTCTAATCAGAGCACAGATACTCATGAGCACCTGAGCCAGAAATGAACCTGAGTCAGGTCCACACACTTACCAGAACCAAAGTCAGGACCGAATCAGAACCGCACTTTCCTATGACAGGAACATGAACTCCATCCTAACTTGCAACTGAACCCCAACCCTGAACGGTAACCCTAATCTGAAGTATCACATTTAATTAGAGCCAGAACAAGAAGCCAAAGCAGATTCTGAACCTCAAACTGGAGTAAAATCCAAAAGCTGAATTTCAAATCCTCATTTAATCCCTTACATGAACCCAAATACAAATGGACTAGACTTAGCCCCTTATTTTAGATCCATTGCTAAATCTCTCTTTACTATTTACAAACAGTAAGCCCTAATCTACCCTAACACTGACTATGGCCCTGTCTGTGGCTTTGACCCTGGCCATAACCTTCCAACCTCCTATCCTGACCCAGTCCCTAGATGCAGCCTGACTTTGACATTGGCACTAAACCAAAGCCAGCACTGAACAGACCCTGACCCTGATCCCTGACCTCAACCCTAACCCTGACCAAGACCCCTGACCCTAACCCAACCTTGAACCTGATTCCTGACCCTGATCAAGATCCCTGATCCTAACCCTGATCCCTTCTACAATCCTGACCCTGATCCTACACCAGCCAAAACCTGATCCTCACACACTTAACCTTATCCTTACCCTCACCATAATATAACCCTAACTCCTATCTTTTTATCTGACCTCATCATTACCCCGATCCTTAATCTGAACCTGATCCTAATCCTATCTGCATTCTAACTCAACAAAATTCCAACTGTATTCCAAATATAAAGTCACACCTAAATCAGAAAATTTTTTGAGAGGTTTTTGCTGTAGGGCGTGTGCACTCGCTAGAAAGACAGAGAGAGAGACAGAAAGCGAGAAATCATCCCACCCCTCAGAAGGGATGGCCACGCCGCAATCCCTTCTCCTCCATTCTCCTCTCGGGATCTTGGGCACACACACACACACGCCCGGCGTGAGTTTAAGCCACCGGGTCCAGGACTTGAACCGCAGTCGACTACATGTGAGTCCAGCGACATAGCCATTACACCAACTGCTGGTCCCCCAAAATCAGAATTTTAAGTTGACCCCATTCTCAAGGACAATCAGAACCATAATTCATGTTTTCTCCTGAAACCTAACCCTGTCCCCATCTTGCCCTATTTCTTAACTTCTAAAATTCAACCTGAACCCATCCCTCATTCTTGTCACACTAACTCCCATTGCCATTGCATAGAGTCAAAAGCATTTTTGACCGAACCGTAAATCCTGATCCCCCAACCTGACCTTAAATTTAACCATAACCTAACCCTCTGTTCTCTCACTACAATTTCTAGTCTTCAACTCTACCCCAAACCCTATGACCTTGCCAAATATCACTCACCTACTCAACCCAAACCTTAACCTACCCATCACATGACTCCTAACCCCCAAGGAGGCTTTATTTTCCCAAGTGTCTACACTGATCCCCCAACTGCTCCTCCACTTCACTGTAAACAGACACCAAGTTGTGTAAGTCCTTTATCCTTTTCCAAACCTTCCTGGCAGTAGGCTCCAGCCACACTGCACACTGAGACGTGCCATCCCCACACCCCTGCATACACCATCCAGTCCATGATGGGGTTTTGTGTTTGATTTTTTTGCTAAGTTTTTATTTTAATTCAAGGACGTTGCTTCATACAAAATGTCATTGTAGAAACAATAGCATAATCCAAAGTTTGGCTGATAAATATTACTCAGGCAGCAAACTAGTCAATCACAGAATTTTCTTTAAGTAGGTCCCAGTCATGTTTCATTGTTGGGACTTTTTTAACACTGTTCTTAAATATAAACTTTTGCAACAAACCTTCAATTTATATCAAATATAATTAAAAATTAACAAAGGGATACATGGTATCAAAAAGTACGAAGATATACATTTTCATGCACAGACTTGTATATATGTGTATATGTATATATTTTACATGCACACACAACTTGTTCAAACTGCTGCCACTGCTCGGCTGGTCCCAGATGCAGACAATTGGTTGATGCATTTCAAATTTGGCAACTCACTATGAGATTTCAGGGGACATATGATAGCTCGAGAAGAGACAGTACAGAAACCAAACCCAGCAAGGGAAACAAGACATCACATCTCCCTCCTCCTCCCTGTGACTTTCATTCATTCTAATACCTAGAAAACTCCAGACAAGTCCTCCAGGTATGTAGGTCTAGAAAGGTTAAATCTGGGCCCAACATGGACTGCAGAAATGGCCACGGTTCTGAATACATTGACACAGGATAACATGGGCTGGAAGAACATCAGTGTCAAAGTACATGCCCCCCACCTCTCAGCATGAGCATGGCAATCAAATGCACAGTCGGAGATTCCTGTTCGATCTCCTCCTATTGGAATAAAATGCTCTGTTACCTTTACAGTTTCAGAGTGTTGTGCCCTTCGTGGAGGAGAGTCTATAAAAAGGTTTGGTCACAATCATGCCGAAACCCACAGACCAGGTGGCAGTCTCGTGCATTGTTTCTATTAAATGTGTCTTTTGTTGCATAGCCCTAAGGGTGGATGACATCCACTCGCTGGACACACCCCCCACACACACACACCTCCCATGAGCACAGACACACACACACACACACACACACACAGGCACACACAGTTCTTTGAGGAGACTCGGGATGGAAGCAATAATCCAACAAAGATCATTTGAAATTTCAAAACACAGAGGACACACCAGGACCAATCTGTCTTAAACGCTTCCTTTCTTTGTGAAATGAAGGCTCTCCCAGTATTCTGAGCACACCAGGCAACACCCTGAGTATGATCTTCCCTTTGAGATGGCCACAAGGTTCTCTTGCTGCCTCCTCCCCACACCATGTGCCGGAACAGTGCTGGGCTGCAGCTGCCCGACCTGAGCTCTGGGACTCATTCTTCTACACCAGCTCCAAGTCCCACCCTCCCTGCCCTCTCTGCTCCAGCCCTCCCCCTGCTAACTTTCCTTCTTAACAGCCTGAGGTTTAAAAAAACATATTTGACACACAACAGAGATCATGCCCTGCGTGGCAGGCACCCCATCCCTGAGATCAGATATGGAAGATTGAAAACACCTCGCACTCCATATGCCCTGCTGCCCTCCAGCCCCCACCAGGCACCCCTAGTTTGTGGGAGGAAGACGAGGACATCCTGCTCAATGCTCTCTGGCATTCACTAACATCCAGGTTTCCAAAAACCCACTCGTGATGGTTCATGAGGCCTCGCCTCACACCATGATGCTCAGAGGCTGGGCGTGAGGGCCTGAGGTCAGGCACTTGGTCAAGAGCAGTAGGAGCCAGGGGCATCTGGGGGACACCTGACTGGACAGTCTGCCAGAAGCATCTCGCACAAATCACAAAAGCGCACAATGAAAGATTCAGATCGTTCTACAAAGTTGATTTTTTTAAGCTATGTTAACATTTCCTTCCCTTTCTGGTTTAATGTTTCTTTCTAAGTATATAGAAATGACAAAATAGTGAAGTGTATTGTGATTAAAAACTGAAATTGACAGCAAGAACGTTTTCCAGATTTGGTCCCTGGCAGGGCTGACAGTGTCCAGGGAAGGACAGCGTTGGGTGCATTTCTAGCTCACGTTTGCTGACAAAGTACAAAGAGCACAATGGATGCTGACGGGGGCAGTAGGGGCCACGGGCTGGTCCACTTCAACTTCAGCAGGTCCTGCCCCCCACAGACCACGGCCTCAGGCCCTGCTCCCCCAGACCACAGCCTCAGTCAAGACCCACAAAAGCGTCCCAGCACCACCTTGGGTGCTGGGGCTCAGGACACGGTCTGGACTCGCCAGGTCCTTCTCAGTCACATTTCTGACGGCCACTTCCTGTCAAGATCAGACGTGCAGTGCGAGATCCCGAAGGCAGCACACGAGGGGGACGGAGCCACATCCCTCCATAAAGGGCTTTATTAACCCATCCAGTGACAGAGGGAGGAGGGCGCAGCATAGACTCTGCCAAGGTGACCTCCAGGCCAGGTCCCTCCTCCCCAGGGGCTGCTGCCGCTGCCCTGGCCACCCCAGTGTCCTCAGGAACCCAGGTGGATGATAAAACTCATCCGTGGGACGTGCCGCTGCGTGCAGGTGTGGCGATCACGGCACAGCTAGCACCAGTGGTCTTGGTCGGGGTGGTGGTAGCTGTGCCGTGCCCGGCTGCCCGAGCCGAGTCCCAGAGTACAGTGGTAGCCGTTGAAGAGCGGCCTGAGTTGGTGGCCACAGCTTCCTCAAAGGTGAGTGTGTCCTCAGGCAGGGGGTGGTCAGCAGCCTCACTGTCCAGGCGCTGGCCCAGGTTAGGGTCAGAGCCAATGCGAGAGCCAGGGGCCAAGGGCTGGCTAAGGGTGTCTCTCTGGAGCAAGGCGTTGTGCTCAGAAAGGCCGCGACTCAGCCGGCCGGGGGAGAAGGCGGGGAGGCTGGTCTGAGCCCCGCCGTAGTGGACAGGTGAGGAATGGGCCGTCTTGTAGGTGATGCTGGGACGGGGGGTCAGGGGGGTCTGGGGCAGCTGCCTGCGCCCACCACGGCCTGCAGTGCTAGCACCAGATGTTGGCAGCAGGGGGCTCCCACTAGCTGGTCCACTATCCTGCATGAAAGTAGAAAGAAACAAATCGAAAGCAGAAGCAGAGCACAGGGCACACAGAGGGAGTAGGGCACAGGGGAGCTGAGAAGACAGGAGGTGGGACGGTGGGCCTGGGGGGCAGATGTGGGCACAGGGGAGGTGAGAAGGACAGTCATGAGCCAGGGCAGAGTGCAACGGCACCCACAACCACAGCAGATGCAATCAGGAAGGTGCGAGCATTAGGAGAAGCCTCATGGGGTACAGCGGGCACATTGGGCTTGAAAGACAAGGGGGTGAGGGCTCCTGGCCCTTCAGATGTGGAGGTGGGAGGGAGGCCCTGGGTTGGGACTGCAGGTGAGGAGCAGCAGGCCCAGGCCTCCCCACCAGGGGGCGCACCTTACCTGCGTGTGGGGCCCTGGCCCCTGCCCAGCTGTTGGCGATGTAGGGTGGCTACTGAGGGATGGCCTGGGCGGCAGGGGCTCACGGCCACCCCAGCGGTCACAGGAGTAGAAGCGCTGCTTCTCTGAGGAGGAGGAGGAGGGCTGCCTCCGCTCTTGGGACCGGCCCCGCTCCCGCCGTCGCTCCCGCCTGCAGCCTGTGGGCCCATCTCCTGGGGGCAGCCCGGGCCCTGCAGTGCTGTTGGGTGCTGGCCCAGAAGGGCTGCGGTCAGTGCGGCTGAACTCCAGGCGGGGAGCTCTCCGACCCAACTAGTCCTCCCGGGGGTCATCAAGACAGGGAAGGGCAAGGGCAGAAAGGGGAGGGGAGCGCGGTCCTGCCTGGGCCCTGGACCTGGAACTCACGCTCACACCTGCTCTGGGCTGATTACGGGTAACTAGAGTCATAAGGAAAGGAATCCCCCATGGGCTACCTGTCTCCCTCAGCCAGGGCTCCCAGACCCCTGTGCACGCACCACCGTCCGTGTCAGCAGAGAGGCTCGGCCCCTTCTCTAGGGATCTCTGCTTCTTGTCCCTGCGGCGGTGGCAGCGGTGGTGGTGGTGATGGGTGGCCTGGCTCGGGGCAGGGCGGTCCAGGGTGGCACTGCAGAGATGGACCCCGTGGGGGCGCTGGGCCAACGTGGAGATGGAGCGCTTCATGGGACTGGCATCTGGGGCGTGCTGTGGACAGGGACAGGGTGGGCAGTGAGGGCCAGGGGAGGTCCTAGGGGCAGCTAGCCAGCAGCAGGACTAGCCCAGTCAGAAGCCAGACCAGTCACAGGTGCTTCCACAGGTCAGGCCTCTCCCCAGACAGGACAGGCTGGGGTGGGGGTGCTGCCTGACCATGTGGGGAACACATGGTGTGTAGCAGGACTCCTGCCTGCGAGTCCTGCCAGGAAGAGGGATGCCAGGGGCAGGGACCCACAGATGCCTCGCAGCTGCAGGGACCGTCCTGCCCGGGCTGTCTGAAGCAGGCTGGCTGCAAGGCACCCCGAGGCTGGAACCTGGACCTGAGGGAATGGGCCTCCAGGTGGGGCTCACCCACAAGTGCCTGAGTGTCAAGTGTGAGGAGGGAGGGCTCCTGTGCCCAGCAACAGGTGACACCTGGGAGGCAGGGACGGGAGAAGGTGAGGTCGGAAGGGGAGCAAACAGCAAACAGTAAGAGGAAGGAGGCACTGCGGCCACAGCCGTGGGAGCGGGCAATGGGATGAGAGCGAGGCTCCAGGTGGATGTGGGAGCCAGAGCACAAGGACACGGTGCAGGATGGGGGCTCAGACACTCGGCCACCCAGAGCAGGGGCCACGGCAGGCTCTGCACATCCAGGGCTCCTGGAGCACCCCACCTGCCAAAGGTGGGAGCAGTGCCCCCAAACATCCTGGGACAGAGACCCACCACCATCCTTGTGAGAGGCTCGGCCCCAGGAATGCAGAGCCACAGACCTCTCTAGGCCAGGGCTTCCTGTTCTTCAGTGTCACCGCATAAGGCCACCAGCAAGGGGCTGGGCAGAAAACGAGCTTGGATCAGAGGTGGCATCCCGAGTCATAAACAGCATCGGGGAGACATCCAGATGAAGCTTGTACTCTATACAGAGTGGGGCCTTGATAAAACATTGTGTCCTATAGGCCAGCGGACAGAGCACTAAGGCAGGCATTGGACTCTCACATAGCCAAGCGCTGTTCAAGTCTCGAACCCAGTGGTTTGAAACTCATGCCAGTCATGTGTGCATGCATGACCAAAAGCCTGAGAGGAGAATGGAGAAGGGATTGTGGCATGACCATCCCCTCTGGGAGGTGATTTCAACTTTCTCTTTCTGTGTATGTCTCTTCGGCAAGTGCACGTCCCCTATAGCAAAAATCTCTCCAAAACTAAACAAATTGTCCTAGAGAGTGAAGAGCTGACCTGGGCCCTAGTGCCAGGGGACAGAGCTGAGTGATGGAGCTGGGTGACAGGTGGGGGCAGAACTGGAAAACAGAGATTGGAGGACAGAGCTGGGGGACAGAGCTGGGGGGCAGGGCTGGGGGACAGAGCTGGGGGACAGAACTGAAGGACAGAGCTGGGGGACAGAGCTGGGGGACAGAGCTTGGAGACAGAACCAAAAGTTCCAGAGATGAACTTCAGGGACTTTCTCTCAGCAACAAGGCTGTGGCACTCCCGGGCAGCTCAGGAGTGACACGGGGAGGCACAGGGAGGATTGTGGCCAGCTTGCCCAGGGCACCTCCCTCCCACACAGCTAGGCACAGTGGCCTTCTTGGTCCCAGACATTTTCACCCTCTGAATGGGCACAGTCCCACCTCCACCACATGGCCTGGGCCCTCCCAGACCCACCTGTGTCTCTGCTGCCAGGCGAGGCATGGACGCAGCACGGCCCTGGCTCTCCAGCCCAGGCTGGGGCTCCCCATCGGGGTCCTTCAGGGCTGTCTGGACATCCACAGCCTAGGGGGACGACAACCTCACGGTCACACCTTATGAGGCATCTCCAGTCTCGCCTGCCCCTCCTCTAGCCCTGGGTGGTCTCACCAGTGTCCTTGACTGCCCCACAGGGATCTCCGCTGAATGGCCGCGCTCTAGGGGAGGCCTGGCCTCGCAGGGTGTGTCCTGTGTCCTCTGAGTGCCCCAGGAAACAGACTCTTTGATGCCACTCTGTTGGGTTTGTCTGTGTGAGAGGAGAGAGGGTGTCCTGGGGGCTGGAGTCTCTTGGGCACTGCCCCCAAGGAATCTTACCAGCCACAACTTTGCCAAAGGGAGGGGCCCTGGTCACTCCATCCTGGGCAAGATGAGCCCTCCCTTGGGCACAGGAGCTCCAACAGGGCCTGAGCACGCTGGATGTAATGAAGGGGCATCCAGGGATGAAGCCCAGCCCAGGGTCTCCAAAAGGCAGAGGGTGCCAAGCTGCCCAGCACAGGAAAGCGGAGGCCTGTCGTTTCCTGGTCTGAAGACACCCAGCCGGTCCCTCAGCCCTGGACAGGGCTCACCTGTGATGGGGGCAGGGCAGCCCTGCTGCACCAGGCCACTGTGGAAAGGGGTGAAGCCGTGTGTGTGAGGCCTGTGTAACAGACCCTGCCTGGCCGGGGCCCCCTCGCCTCCCTAACACCCTCCCCCAGTCACAGAGGACCTTTCTACCCTCAGACCTCTGCTCAGATGTCCCCTTCTAGGAAGGGAACCCAAGTCACACTCCTCCCGCAGGCACCTCGCCGTCCCAGCCCAGTGAGTGCCCTGCACTCCTGTCACTTATCTCGGCAGCACCAAGTGTGTGCACACCCTCTCAGCACTGCCATGCTCTTGGCTGTGCCGGTGGAAAGTGCCAATCACTCTGACCTCAGCAGGGATTCCCATGGCCCCAGCTGATTATGCTTCTGGCCAGTTCCTCCACTTCTGACAGCTGCAGACCCCTCCCCACACACGCTGCCAGAGACAGAGCAGCCTCGGGAAGGCTGATCCTGAGAAGAGCGGACCGTCAGAGGAACCAACGTAGGGCCCTCGTAGCATGGCCGACCCTGAAACCACACCATATTGGAAGCCAGGTGTGTGCTCAGACCATTTGAGAAATGGCTCAGTACCCTACTGTCTGAGCCAATCACGGGGTCCTCTTACTCGCAACAGAAGAGCTGTAATGGAGAAACTGAAAGCCTGGCTCGGGTCAACCCAAAAGACACCTCACCACGTCCTCCAACACGCAGACCCACACAGAATCAACTGTTCACTGTCACTGTGAAAACGGGATCTTGACCAACAACCAGAGAGTGGGCATAAGGGGCACTTCTAGGGGACCTGGGGTTCCTCGACCTGGGCCCTGGATTTGGGAGTTCATTCACCTGAAATCGCCTGCTCTCCAGTTCTGGCCATATTCTCTTCTGAGGCCTCGGCCTATCTGTGGGGTGCGGGCCAGAGGGGAAGGAGCAGCAGCCAAAGAAGGTCTGCACCTGCCCTGTTCTCAGGCCAGTGTGCCCTGCCTTGGGTCAGGAATGAGAGGAGCCACATCCTCTCTGTGGAGGTCCTTGCTGCACCTCACTTGGTGTGGATGGTCTGTCACCACTAAATACCTCAATAGGGGTAAATGATAGAAGGACCTCACCAATTTGCCTACAACACACGACGGCTTCAGAAATCACTGAAAAATGGAGCTCTGTGGTAAAATGGCTTAAAGGAGTGAAGAATATTTGAACTCCACCAGGCCATTAACAGAAAAGGGTAAGAACTGAGGCAGAAACAAATTCTTGACTGTCTCACAGGTTAAGACAGAGACCTTACAGCTGAGAGAGACAGGTGCACCAGGCGGCAGTAGCTTAGCAGTCCTTAGGAAGCAGACCCCATGGGACACGGCAGAGGTGGGTCCCCAACTATTGCAATGTTGCCTGAGGCCCCGTTAGGTGCTTGGAGCCAGGGAGCACCTGGAAGTCGAGGAGATAGGGTTCCTGCTCCCTCCCTTCCCTGGCTGTGGGCTTTCCGTGCCAGATGGTCCCCCACACTCACACAGCCCCACCGTTGCTGAGGGAGGTGGAGCTTTTCTGACGAAGGAAGACCCGGGCTCCTCGGAGGACAGCTGGCTGAGTCTGCTCCAGGGTGGCCTTCAGAGGGTGGAACAGTGACACAGGACCCATCTGCAAAAGGGGCAAAGGGAAGACAAAATGCTCTGGGGCCAGGGAGCCAGCCCCAAGGGCTGCGACGCTCTGACCACACGGCAGCCCCGTCAGCTAGCAGCCGCATCCCTCCTCCCCACCTGCTCCTACAAGTGAATGTGTGACCAAGAAGAGTGAGGCAGCTCTTCCTCAGAACCTGGCCCACAGTGACTGCAGGGAAGCCACGCCATCACACCGTGTCTCAGAGCCCGCTTCCCCACCTACACGGTCTGGACTTGACCAGACTGCACGGGGCAAAAGCATTTCGCCTCCCCCACTCGCACCGATAGCCGGAGCTGCCTAGAGCTCAAGCTGAGCAGGCTGCTGAAGTTGATTAGTGATGCCTGTCACGGACAGGGAGCTGGAGGACAGAGAATACAGACATTCCCACCCAGGGTCAGTGCGTGCCCCTGGGAGTTCTGAGTAATGTCTGGACAGGGCAGGAGTGATGGCCACAAGGCAGCCATTGCCTCTAATGAACAACTAGGAAGATGGGCCCCAGCCGTGCCCATCAGACTCAGGCAGAACTTGTCTCTGGACCCAACACACCTCTAGAACAATCCTCCTCAAACATTCTGCACATCTTCTTCCTCTTTTCTACCACTTAGAGAAAGTGCTATTCCCCAAGACCTCTGTCCTCAGGCCCCTGTGTCCTGCCCCAACACTAGCCCTCCCAGTTAGGGTTCCCCGAGACCCTGGCACTGGCTGATAGAAGCAGAATGGTTTCAGGCTCTAACTTCAGGGCCAGAGAGGGATCCGCCACATGCTCATCTCTCTTCTCCTGCCACACTTTCTCCAAGAAGGGTGTGGGTCTCCCACCACAGTTGAGCCGCCAAAGGGTGCTACGGTCTCAGAGGTATAAGTCCTTTAATGAAGCCCTGGAACCCGGTACCTGGGACAGGCCCCCAGGTGCTTGGCGAGCCTGGTCTCTGCTGGTCTTGCTCTGCTTGTAGAAGTCGAATATCATCAACGCAGCGTACACCTTCCCCACTGTCATCTCACCAGCTGGGGGCAGAGCAGGTGAGAGGTGTGCAGGAGGAAGGGAGTAGGCAGCCCAGAAAACATCTCGGGTGGAGCAAGATGAGGAAGCTGCCCCCCACCCCCGTCCCACCATGAGGACACCTGCAAACACCCCAGGACAAAGGGGCACTAGCAGAGCCCGGGGCCTTGGCCACAACTGCTTGGCCTCTCTGTGGCTACTTCAGA